CCTCCCTCGAAGATGGTGATCATGATTCCCGTCCGCACGCTCCTCTGGTCCATTGCTCAAGACATTCAAGCAAATGCTCGAGCTGACTTTTAACGCACCCATCCGAAACTGAGCATAGAACGACAACGGTCGAGACAAACTACGACAATCTACGAACGAACATCAAACCAAACAAGCTTTTGCAACTTAGATAAAAGCAAAGAGCATGCGGTACCTAAGGGCAGAAAAGCATAAGAGCAGTGGTGCTACCAACAGTCACGCTCGGAATACCAGCATGCAAGGAGCACATCATCGTCACTGTCCTCAGCATGCAGGGCGGGGGTTTGTGCGATCTTGCACGAGAGTTCCAACAGAACGTCGACAGTTACGAGGATGATGACACGGACGAGCTGTGACAGTTCGCTCGGCTGAGAGGCCTGGCTTGCCGTTGGGGCCACTGACGCAGCGACGCGGGACCATTTGTAGCGTTTCTGAATCAATCATTTGCGTGGTGGCGGGGCCCGTGCTTCACTATTGTAAAACGACGAAATGTGCTCCTAGACGCGGTTTTGATCTGGTTCTACTGAGGTGAATTGGTAAACGACAAGCAACAGCCCTGTGCTGAGCATTTTGCGCCGGCTGGTGGCGCACATGTGGCGCCCCAGAATGCGTCTCAACGGCGCCTGGATGGACTCCAGCCTGACATCCGGAGAGAGCAGCAAATGATTTTATCTCTTCAATCGGTTTGATGACAGGAACTAGATAATTAGACACGGGGAGAAAAAAAAGTAGCCACGAGGCCTCTGCTCAAACACGTGCCCAAGGCCATGTGCAGGGTTGGATGCGAAGGGCTTTACGTGTCTGCCGATTTCGACGTCCATTTCATAGAGACTGGGCCTCTAAGAGACTGGCACCACATCCGCACAAAGACCCCAAGGAGTCGTGAAGTCATGAATGGGTCGTAGAGTCGCAGAGTCTTAGAGTTTGAATGGGCTAGGTGCCTCCTGCCCTCTGCCGGCGGCCAGAAGCCTGAAGCTTCAACTCAACTGGCACACCAGACTGCTGAGAAAGGATGCACAGCCCACGGCCCAACTCGATGCCTCGGTGAAGTCCTGCGAGAAAGGTCCACTGCTGTGGCGTCGCCTTTTAGCAGGCCTTGTCTGCAGGAGACCAAAGCTGAGATACTGGAGGCTGCTCTCCCGACTCAACTCAAGATGCTGAGACACAACTGCCTTTCCTCCGCATCAAACTCCTGATGAGCCTCTCGATGTGTAAGATGTCTGGAGAAGGAATCGAGGTGTAGGGCAGTGGTGACGAAACAAAAAAACACATCCCTGCTGATTCATCAGCACAAGATCCAGACAAGCACAAAACTTTCCCTGGCCTTTCGAATCCGACCCATACAGCAAGCAGACGTGTCCTTGGGCTTCAGTCTAAGGCTAAGGAGAGGCCCCCATGCTGCACGGTTACCACTGCAGACACGTGTCCGCAGCTCTGAAGCCGGCAAAAACAAGGATGCTAAACAAGGTCGAGTGTCACGAGCTCCATTCATGTTGCCGCCTCTCCAGGGTACAAAGCGGTTCAAGCTAAGTGAAGCAAGGCGAAGCACGTATTCGCTTTGCTGTGCGGTTGCGCTGCCAACATGATCACATTCACCAGAGCAGCACACTCACCGCGAAAAAACAGGTCCACTTCATCGGGCCCAGCACAGCAAGCAAAAGGGTTTCAGCCGGAGGTTCACATCACTCTTTGGCAAATGTTTCTTCCCCATCAAGCTGACTTGAAATCGCAGTCTGCCGTGGGAGGGAAGAGCCATCCCAACGTGGGTATACTGTGTAAACTTCCACGATTGTAATCTCACCCCTGCCTCGGAGTACTGCTTCTTGCACCTCCGGCGGTTCCTGGCGAAGCGTGTTGGCTGCCCGTTCGCTCAGCTCGAACTCCTGCCAGGTCGAAGGATCTCCAATGCAGGCAGCAGCAGAAGCTTTCTGAAGCTTTCAAGTCTTTTCGCAGAGGAATCGGCCGGAAGGTCACTGGTTGCTCGAGCCCGCGAACTCCATGCAACTTGCGGCGGGCAGGCCCTCACGAAGTTCTCCACTGCGGAGCGCAGTTTTGGATCCACCCAGCCACGTCCTGGACGAGTTTTGAGCTTCGACTGCGGCTGTGGAGTCGGAGCTGTGCTGAAGCCAATGTCAACCCGTCCCGCCCCAGCCTCCATTTTGGTGGAAGTCTGGGCCTCCTGATCGCACCTCCAGCATCCGAGATGTCTTGTCCTACAACTCCTGCATAGACACATGCGATCCCGCCTGTTCTTGGCGCCTCCGCTTGTGCGAAACGCCAGCATGTTGGCTGCCGCTTCGCAATGCCTCGTACAGGCATGAAAGTGGCACAACACAAACCCAAACGCTTTGAAGCCAGACCCGATTTCGTAGCAAGAGCTGAATGGCCAACCCCGCTTTTGGTAGCAGTGAACCAGATGCCTTCTGCTCACATGCAACGTGCCACAGCCGGAGCTGCAGACTCAGCTCCCGACTTCCTGGGCCTCGTGACACGGATGGCAAAAACAAATGTCAACGTGTAGACTCTAGAGACTCTGCTGTCTACTCTACCTTCACGGGCGTCTTTAGTTCGGAACGAAGCCCCGGTCACTTCCCTGGCCACACTCGGAACACAGGAAATCCGGCTGCACATGAAACCCGACGTCTTGCTTCTGTCGGGAAACCATTGCGAGTTCCGAAGGGCTCTGCATTGTAACCGGCATGCAATATGTCGACCCCAGACCTAAGATCCGCCTTACCCCTGCATGCGTGCACAGCGTGCATGGGGCGAGGTATACGTTCAGGTGGTCGGCTTGGCTCTGCGAGCGATGCTGATGGTCTCCCCCCAGTCACATGCTCTACTTACTCACCTTTGCCCAAGCCTTCCTGATCCGGCCGACGCAGCCGGCGCCAGGATCTCGACAGCCCTGGAGGCTTCCCTGGCAACACGCATTGGACCGCCGTAGGCATCCGCAAGCTGTAGGCCCCGCCATGAACTGAACGGCCTGGTCCAGCACGGCTCTTTGCACAGCAGCTGGCGCCTGGGCATGGGCTGCTTCAGGCCTTTGTGGTTTTGGCGCTGGGACGATTGGATTTTTGGAGTCGGTTGCTTCTATCATGTTTTCCCCTATGCTGCGCTTCCACAAAATGTTAGTCCTGCCTTTTCTTGTCTTGAGAGAGGAGTCGGCAAGCAACTGCAGAGGCAACAAGCTGCACAGTGTCTCTACGGAAGAAAGGGCGCGGCACGGTGTCTTTACGGAAGACAAGGCGTGCAAGAGGAGTTGGTTGAGCTCCTCTTTCGTGAGGGGCAGCTTGCCCAGCCTGATGTTGTAAAGCTCCCTCTTCAAGGCAAACTTCCAGCGGAGAGGGTGAGCTTGGACGCCAAAGCGAAGACCTTGAGGAGCGTGTCGAGTGCATCGCGAGAGTACTTCTCGCGACCCTCCTCAAAAGTCTGATCCGGGGGAGCGCTCATCTTCAAGCTTGGCGCATACACATTCATGTGAGGGTGCACGAAAGTTTCAAGTAGGTCTGCATGATGCGGAGACGAGGTAACGACGACCATGGGAGCAAACTGAAGCTGAGCCTACCTAAGGCCCTGGGTTACAAAGCATCGAGCTAGGAACTGACTAGATATTCCCGCGACTCAAGCACCATGTAGATGGGGCTGGCCGACCCCCTGACCATTGGTTGGAGGTGCTCGGAGAGTCGAACAGGCTGTGCATGGATGCACCGTGGGAACTGGAGCTTGGTTCCTGTCGTCTGGGTCGTGTGGCGCAAGGTGGCGTGAAGTACCCCTCAGCCACTGCACCTCTCTGCGTTCGTGGTGCAGTCCTGAAGGAGTTGCTGCCTCCACTGCAAACTCTGGCATAGCAGAAACTGTCCCTGCTCCTGGCTCCGGATTCAAGTCGCACTCAGCGCCGGGTGAATCCAACTGTGTGGGCGCAGTATCCCTCTCCTCCGGAGAGGAATCAAACAAGAAGTCTAGCGACCGGGTTGTGGCTCTCCATGTCGTCAAAGCTCCGCTGCAGTCGAGTGCTGCGACCAGGACTCCAGGCGTTCCCATGCTCCTAGAGCCAAACCCTGCCGAGCTGCTGTTTCTGTTTGGGGAATCGCCAGCTCATACCAAAGCATGGCGGAGACAGGTCACAAATCAGCCATATGACATATGATACGGTGCTACGAAAGGGTACTGGTTCGCAGGCACAGGCCTCTTGAAAACCTCGAGTAGGGCCCTGCAATCGCACCCGTTCCTAGCAGCCTAACCAGGGCAGAGGAAATTCTCAAGTCAAGTCAGAGACTGGTGGACTCCTCCTCGGCCGATGCACTACAGACTGCATGGCCAGAGCTGTACCACAAGCCTATGGTTCGGGGGGCTATAGAATCTAGAATGATATGAAGATGTGAGAGCTTAACAAGAGCAGACTCTGCCCAGCTAAACTCCCACCCGCACGAGGAATAAACCTCTTGAATCGATTTGAAAGCGCGCCTCGTACAGGACGGATGTCGCACGGTCGCCTAAGAGGACGCGAGAGAGCCGACCCAGTCTGGCCCACAAGCAAGCGAGACAAAAAGCAGACGTCGAAGGAGCAGAAGCATCAAAAGAAGGAACCCGAAGCTAAGCTATACTAGAATTGCCTCGACCACAGGGGCATGAGTTTCTACATGTGGCCGATTCAGCCTCAAAGCGGCTTCTCAGGCAAGAACCGATACTGTTCTGCTCGGCAAAGGCCGACAGTTCGTCGGCGGAGGGTGCCTCGCAAGAAATCACATCGCCGATCGTCGCAGTATGCTGTGCTACACAAATGCAGGACGCCTGCAAAGCGTCCTCCGCGACGTGCGCAGATCTCCTTGGCATCGCAGAGCTCACTTGGGCCAGTCGTAGCAGCGCAGGTCGGCCGAACACCCGTGTGGATTTCCTAATCGTCCGGAGCTTCATCAAGATTAGATGCTTCAAGGCCACTAGTAAAGCAAAGACAAGAGTCAGTACGAAACCCCAGACGAACGAGGGAGGCTCCGAAAGTTCCTAGGGTACCCCGAACGAGGTAGGTGACTAAACCCCGAACTAGGAGGAGCTTCAACCTTGATACACTCCAAGGGATTGGGGGCACTAGTTGGCAAAGGCGGTCCTCACAAGTAGGCTCGCTGAGTTTGATCTGCATTGTCTTGCGAGGAGAAATGCCGCACAGACTGACGTCATCCACATCGAGTGGGGAAGCACTGGCACTTCAAAAGGCAACCCCAAAATCGAAACCACTAATGTTGCAAATCGGTGCTACCGAGGCACTGTGCCTTGGCAATGCGGCCGATACAGCCGGCGCTCGGCTCGCGACAGCCCCGCAGGCTCCCCTGCTCGAGGACCTCTCCCCGAATTTCTACACCAAACTGCTTTCGTGCACCCGCAATTGCAACAAGCCGAGCATCGCGATGGCACATGGTTTCGGTAGGGACATGTGTGGCATGCGCTTTAAAGAAAGAGGGAGTGAGAGTGAGAGTGCGAGAGAGATGGAAAAATACAGAGTCACAGACACGGCCAAAGCAGACCACCCCCATGAAAAAGGATGAAGCTAGACCCAGTGGTGTATCAGCGTCATGGAGTCACAAGCCTACAAGGACCTGCTCGCCTGCTTTTGGATGATCGCGGGGATGCTCCTCAAGGCATCGGCGGCTCTCTCGTTCAGCTCGTTGTCCTCCACGAACCTTAGTGCATGGACATGCGCACATGAATGTCAAATAGCAAAACTGTTCTCCTCTTGACAAACATGATTCGTTCTGGGCTACAGGTCTGAGTAGGTCTCGATCCGAGAAAGGCTGCAAGCGTGGCTTTTTTTGAAGCAGGGCTCTACAGTCCTCCAGGGTGAGGCAGGAAACATGGCTAAATCATTGCCTTACTTTGACTCAGCAGTCCTTTATAAATCCGAATTATGCGGATGAACCAACGCCTTGGGCAAGTTGAAGACTTCTCATCTACAGGGCCTAGGAATGTCCAGGACTAGGACAAAGGATCGACACGATACTAAGCATTGATCAACAAACGATTTAGCATTTGACTCCAACTCTGCAGCAGGCTTGAAAGCGATCCCTCGTAGACTCTACTCATCGCTGCAAGGCCAGCGGCTGTTCCACCTCAGCTTCTGAAGGCATCCATGGCTGAGATGGCAAAGATCTCCGCCGAGGCTGATGGACCCCACTTTCGCCTTACACCGCGGTGCGCGCATGAAGCTTCGAGGAAGTCCGCCTGCGCCTATGCCTATGCTCTCTCTCGCCGATGCGCAAATACGATTTGCTCACCTGCAGGTTGTATGAACGAAACGCGACTGCCACATCATGCCTGATGCCACTGCTCTGGCCGAGCGCAAGAACCACGCATGCTTTCTGACTGCTCGCTCGCAAGCATATCGCTCTACGTCTTCTGTCATGCAAAAGGTCCTCGGTACCGTATACCCAGTCAATTCCTTTACGAGGCCCCTGGACTGGAAGCACCAGACTAGTCTGGGTAGCGTGATGACGGAAGAATGCCGCGATCCCTCAAATCCTGCGTCCACCTCACCCTCGTGTCGTTGCCGTGATACTATATGCGGCAATACCCTTAGGAGGCCATGCCCCAATCTACTTGACATGGCATTTTATCCGAACATGCACATGTATTGCAAACAAAATTATGAGCATGCATTGTGTGGATATGTGTGTGTGTGCAAACCATCCTGCAGATGTACATACACGCCTACATGCACACATATACATATACACAACATATCATAGCATAACATAACACTATTGACACTATTGCGTTCCAGTACATTGCATTACATACATACATACATTTTTAGCACTCGCGCTCGACGAGTCAGGCGAGGTGTAGGGGGAACCAGATTCACAGCAAAGGCCGCCAGAGACCAACGATCTCACAGCAACCAGGATCCTTTCGATCACACAACGTCGCGCCAGCTGTATTTGCCAGCGTTCAGCATAGCTTCCGAGCAGAAAAAGCTGACCAAACATTCTCAAGAGCTGTCAGACCCAGATAACAGATCTAACCGTCCACAGCACCTTCAAGGATGACGAGACCACTGGCAGTTAGCAGGCCTGAGGTGCAAAACCCCTCCCTATTCAAGACGTCACAGCGCGCGCTCAGACCTCGCTGGCTCACTCAGCTGCTCGGTCCAGTCAAAACCAACCTCCCTCCGCACAGCGGCACACGGCCAGCATCACTGGCCAGTAACGACCACAACCGAAGTGGCAGTAAACACACTCAGTCCTCTAAGCGTTCGCTGCCACCAGCAGCCATCACCAGTCCAAAAAGGCAAAGCATACATATATGCAGGCCCCCATGGTTCTCGACTTCACCACGGGGCAGGCATGCCCAGGTCACTGCACTCAGCACCCACCGGCAGGCCCTGCTGTTTTAATACCCCGGGCATACCGCCGATCCAAAGTAGCCAGAAGCCGATGTGTCTCACCGAGGCTGTAACGGCGGGGCCGATACAGAGGCACTCCAGTCCCTAGTCGAATGCCGGCATCAGCTGCCGTGGTCCATTTGCAGTAAGCACCGAAGTGTCCTATGTTGGCAGCATTCAGCAACAAACTCCACTGTGAGCACATACATCTCGCAAACCACGGGTCTTTTGTAGCCACGAGAAATAAAAAAGCGAGGCTCTTCAAGGCTGTAAGCCGCGGCGGGGCCTATGCAGAGGCAGCACACCAATCGTCCCAGATCCAGTGCAGGCTTCGGCATTCGTGGTCCCATTGCACTGTAAATGACGGCGGGGCCTATTCCAAGGCCGCACGTCAGGGTCCTGTTGACTACCGGCGGGGCCTATACAGAGGCAGCGCACTCATTATCACAGCTGTCCCAAACACTGAAGACATGATAGCCCACCAGCCTAAAGGTCCAAGCCATCGGGGCAAGGGCCCCCTATGTTGGCAGCATTCAGAGACAAACTCCACTGTGAGCACATACATCTCGCAAACCACGGGTCTTTTGTAGCCACGAGAAATAAAAAGCGAGGCTCTCCTGGGCTGTACGCAGCGGCGGGGCCTATGCAGAGGCAGCACACCAATCGTCCCAGATCCAGTGCAGGCTTCGGCATTCGTGGTCCCATTGCACTGTAAATAACGGCGGGGCCTATTCCGAGGCCGCACGGCAGGGTCCTGACACTTGGCCGCGGCCATCCCGACGCGCAACCTCCTGCAGATTTGTTCCATGAAACCTGGGGCAGTCCTCGTTGCCGGCCATGGCGAGGGGGTTAGGGTTCTACGACTACCAGGCTCCCCTCGATTCTGCACCTACCAGGGTGCAGTCCTGGAGGGGATATACCCTCTGCTGTCGTCTTCGTCGTCATTGCGTCGCGACACGACATCTTCATCACCCATCAAGGAAGTCATCGACAGACAGACGACAAGATACGCAGCAGCAGAAGCACAGCAGGGAGAAAAGGAATGAGAAGGAAAAAGGGGCAAGGAAGGAAGCCCAAAAACAGTACAGGCAGTGCAAAAAGCAGTGCAGATGGTTTTACGGTAACATGCTAACATGTAAGGTTCGGTCTGGGGAACGCTGCAGCATGTTGACCTGATCTCCTCAGCGCAGGGATATGGGGCCTCGCACTCCGGCAAAAACAGTCAGTCTGCAGCAGCAATCTCTTTCAAGGGGATGCGTACAGTAGCCAGACAGTGCATATGCTACAAGGGGCGGGGCCAAAGGCCAGGGCCCAAAAACAGTGCAGGAAACTACCAAGTGTCAGTTGATCCCCCTGACCATGGTTGTCGGGATCTGGAAAGCGCGTCCGTCCATCCATACGGTGACAGTGTCCTGTTGCGCAGGAGGACTCAGGTTTACATACATACATACATACATACATACATACATACATACATACATACATACACATGCATGCATGCATGCATAAATACACCTTTACACATATACACACATACATACATACATACATACATACATACATACATACATACATACATACACACACACACATGCACGTACACATATACAAGCCACTTCGGCAGCATGCACTAGCAAGAGAGCAGGTCAGCAGCCAGGTGTGCAAGGCCAGGCAGCGACTTCCAAGCGCACGAGCACCCAGCCAACCCATAATTGCGCATACTTGGCGTTTGATTAAGCGGTCGCCTCTAAACAAACCTGCGGCTCCTCAACCAATAGTTTTTTCGAGTCTCACACTCGCACAGTACTTAGGGATCAGGCCATTGGGGTGCCGGCTCGCAGCTGGAGAGCCATGGTACTGGTTCCTCAGCATTCCGACATCGTAGCAATGGGCCCTCCTTGACTCTCAGCGAAATAAGCTCCAGCTACAATTTCTAACTACTATACTAGCCGAATGCCGAATCATGTACCAAACTAGCGATGACTACCGTGGTACAGCCTGTGCAGGATGCAACTTGTCAGCACAGTCAAGCGTTGGTCCATGGAGACGATTCATAGGACGCTGCATCAGATCAAGGGACTTTGCTTGAGCTTTCGCGATGCGGCCGATGCAGCCTGAAGGGCAGAGGGCCAAAGACAGGAGGGTTCTTGGAGAGGCACCTACAAGTCCTACAATAGCACTCTGAGACACTTTTCTCGCAACCGTCCAGGCCTGCACTAGGTTCGCGGCACGAAGCCAAACTTCCCTGTGACAGAACCTGTCTAAGTCATGAGGGGATTTTAAGGTTTCCTGCCAGACTGCTCAACACGATCCAAGCTGCATCCATCTGTATGTTTGAGGAGACCCCTCCTTAGTTTCTGTGTGCTCTCCCATGCCTCGACAGGAACATCATGACAGTGTAGAATGCCATGCGCGATCGAAGCAGAGGCTCGAAGCGCATCCGCCGCGCGCTCGTTGAGTTGGTTCTCCCAGATAAATGCGTCCAATTCGTCAGCTGTAGGCTCAGCTTCAATGGGACCTGACATGCCCGAAAGGCTCACGCTTGCTAGACTCCTAGACTCCCAGTCAATTCACGTCGGGGGCACGCTCCGGCGCCTGAGGTGGAGGGGTTCGTTGCGCCTGCGAGTGAATGTGAGGCTTGGCAAGGCGGCAAGGCACGTTCAAGTCTCCCCAGCCTCCTCCATAAGTGGCAGGTGCAATGCAGCCTCCGCAGAAACAAAGAGGGAATCTCTCGAATCCTTGTAGGTCGCATGTAGAGCCTCAGCCTTTCGTATTCGGCCGATGCCTGGTAGAAGCTGCCAGTACACGTGCGACATGCTCCCATGCATGTTAAGCTCCATCTTCCTCGGCCCTTGAGGTCGAGCTGCAACCAGCGCTCGGTTCTCTGCATGTGGCAAGACTGCCCTGCTCCATCACCTGCAACCGGGCTCTTTCCCCCAACTCTCTGACTCTTTCTTTCGCCAGGGCTAGGGCCAGG